ATGATTTTCCTAGTTTGCTTTTCAATAATTTTACCCTTTTACATTTATTTTGTGCTACAGCTTTCTTGATATCAGACTCTACTGACTGTATGATGTGATGTTCTTGGCGTTTCGCCATGACAGTGAACAGTCACTGGTACGTGCATGGGAAACTGAAGTTGCAAGATATTCCTGGTGTATATAGACTGTGTGCGCCAGCGTCACTTTAAAAGTACAGGTGAATCTCACCACTCCTGCTACTAGAGATCTAAAAACCTTAAAACGCACATTTAAAATAGCTATAGGCTTAATACATTAACACCTGTCATGGGAGAAGAGCCAGATAGACAAAATGTCTAAATAGCATTAACAGTTTTAAAAAGCTTTGTGAGGCCAAAATGAGCTGAATTGTTATTGAAAGACATGTTGGGCATCCTATAAATATTATGAAGTCCTGGAACAATTGTGAAGCAAATAGGAGATACCAGCTTTCTGCTATTTTGGACAACTTTTTAGACCTGACTGCTAACTAACTTTTTTCAATGTCTAAGCTGCAGCTTCTCTACCCCCCTGTGAAGTGTTAAAGAAGTTACAATGCTTTGCTACAGCCTGATAGTTAACTTGTAATCAGCATATGGTAATTAAAATGTACATCTGGCTCAAGTAGCAGATCCAGAATTGGTATTTACCTTCCAGTATTGTCACTAAGTGGGAGCTCTGTTTAATAGTACACAGTGCAGATCATGCAAATAGGTTTTAGCCATTTTTACAGGCACAGAACTTCAAGTTGTAATTTCCCAGCATCTGCCTGTGCAAGCTGCACCACAGGGAAAGGCAGCCTTAAGTTATAGCATTATGGTCTGATCTGGGTCAGTGCAACCTTCAGGTGCCCTTGCCATGCCCTCTTCCCAGCCAGCACTAGCCAGTCGAGGCATAGTAGCTGCTGGCTCTGAATCACCTACTTAGTAGGAGCTGCATGCACCACAGTACTGTTTATGCCTCCAAGCAAACTTTCCTGGTCCAAAGAACATGCATCACCAGAAGCCAACACAGCCCTTGTGGGCTGGTTTCTTGTATTTAGTCACACAAATATTTTTCCCTCACTGCCTGGTTTCAGGCCTTGCTGTTGCCTCAGTTTCCCATTCTTCTTCCAGTTAATCAAGCCTCGTATTATGGGTGTGTTTTTCCTCCCCTCAACAACCCTCCCCTTTTGAGGATCTACCTTATTAACAAAATCCAGTGCACAAATTTTCCTTTCACCTTCTTACCTGGCTCATAGCCCTTAGCGCAGGGTTCTTTTTCCTGTCCTTGTCTTTATACTAAGACTGTTGCCTCTCTAGTCTTCCCACACATTTCCTGCTCCTTGTGAGCTTTCATTCCACCAGGACCTCTGCTCGGGAAGCAAAAAGATCCTTGCAGCTTGCACAGCACTACTACTTCCTAAAGTTGCTTCCTTTTTAATGCGCTCCAGTTCTCTTTATATTTCCAGCTGCCCTGCTGTGAGTTGTATGCTCCTCCTGTCATGCGGCCTTGCAGATACTCCCTCCATCTAGGGAAGCAGGCAAAACTCAGCACCTCTGAAGGTGTGCCTCAGCTTCCTTACCTGGCTGGTTCACCTTGTGGCCACCTTGCACATAGCATATAGCATGCTGAGATCAAAGACTGTATATGTGGACCCCAAAACAACAAACAGACTTGGGTTCTACTAGGATGTCACCTTTGCATTCTTTTCTACAACTGTATTTTGCAAAACAGTCGAGCAGCAACAAAGCAACTATCACTACCTTGTATGGATCTGGACTCTGTACATTTCACATAAGCATGTTCCTTCACTGTAAGCTTCTAGATTTTGCTTTCATACCATGATACATATTATGAGATGGTACAGTTTACCCTCTGCAGTGATCATCTTCATCTTCGTTGATACACAGTGGAAGTCCTGAAACTCTGCAATCTGTGCAGTCACACTGACCCCTGCATCTCCACCCTTACCACCCTCCATCTGTCCCACTGATTGCTATCTAACTCCTTGCCTGCAGTCCTGTCTGAGTCTGGTGCCAGCGTGCTGCAGCAGGTATAGAGTTCCTTAATTGCCCTCTGTTGCTCTGTGCTTGGAAAGTTGCCTTTTGGCTCCACCTCCTGGCTTTCCAGACAAATAGGACTAGAACCTTAGGGTATTTTTTCATTTACAGAAAGGAGCAATAACCACAGCTCTGTGGGGATCTAACACAGAAGCTGTCCTATTCTGAAGTGGGGAGGTCTTTGTGGAATATGGAAATACTTAGGACATTGGCATGGATGGAAACAGATGTGTGCCTCCAGTCACCCTATACTGAGCCCTGCAGAACATGGACATGGCCCTAGTATAAAGTTGCCAGACAGAGGGCAGAACATCCATCTATTATTAAATACACTTGCCTTCCCACTTTGTTGCTTAACACAAGAGAGGCAGTCAAAGCATATGGTTGCTTGCTGTCAAATAGCATGCTTCAAAGAAAAAAGGTACCAGCCCTCAGGCAGCCAAGTAAAAAAAGGCTTGAATATGTGTAGCAGAAAAAGAAGATGTATGGAGAGATGTGGTGTAGGGGATTCAGTGACAAAGGGGAGAGGGCAGTAGCTATACAACAAGCAAGATGCTGGTGGCAGATGAGAAGTGAAGCAGAAAATCCTGAGTAGGAAAACTCAGGGTGAAGGAAAGGAACAGTACAAAGTATTGGACAGGGGAGATATGACAGGGATTCTTAGGGGATGGAGCACAGCAGGCCCAGGATGCCTGAATCAGTGACCTATACCTTAGCTTGCTACTTCTCCTGAAACCCACTTACTTGACTGAGCGCTGCTTTGAGCCCTGACTCAGCAAGGCAAACTCCCTGTAGAAAGTACTACTTTAAAATAATGGAGAAGGTAACTGAGACAGCAGATACACTGGAGATCCACAATCACAGAACACGATGGGGAGGCGGGGGATTTTTTTTGAAGTTTGACCTCCCTGCCATAATCCTATTTGGTGAGTATATTTATTTACTCTCACTGCTGTGGCTGAAGTGCTTGTGTTCTCGTGCCCAGGGTATCACTGTGCCTGGTCAGGAGCTAGTTGGTTTGTCTGTCTTTGGCATAAATTCCAAGTCTACATGCTGTTGGATTGGGCGTCTCCTTACATAATGCCCCAAGCAATGTTTATAGCCATTTTTTCCTCATTGGTGCCTTTTGCCCCTTCTATACATGGTGCCGTGTGCAGTAGGCAAAATGGGAGGAAATGTTAATATGGGTCTGTGGTACACAGCTTTTGTTGTGTGATTGCATAAAAGTTGTGAAATACGTAACTGGGCTTGCACAATAGCTGGTTTCCAAATATTGACCCAGATGTTTCACATTAATTTTTAAAATACCACAAAGGTCCAATCCTCCTTTTTAATGCAATTTTAAAGATCATAGGAGAGGGAGCAAAAAGGCTAAGAAGTGCTGTCTGAAAGGGGTACGCTTCTTACTGCTAAACCTTAATTTCAGCTGTATGGAAACATGTCCACTGTTTCTGGCCGGCAACCTTTATGTGCAGACTTTCAGCCTGAAGTATTTTTGGAGTTAGGTTGAATATAGACTGTAACAGAAAAGCTGAGGGTCTTCATGTTGCTGCAGGATAAGCTACTGCTTCTGGGTCTGAGCCACTGAGCCCAAAATACATGGCATCCCATGTAAACTCAGTGGAGTCTCATGTGCAGAGATCTAGCCCCTTTATTTCTAAAATCCAATAGGCCCAAATTCTCTATTGCCAAAGCTAGAGGAGCCCCAAGGCTGCTATAACTTGCATATGGGATTAAAACCAGTCTACGCTTCTGCCTTGGGTCCTTTGCTGAGTGCAAGTCAACAGAATGCCAGAACTGGGTTAATACAGCATCTGGGGAAAGACGCCTGCATGGTTACCAGTGCAAAATATAAGTACACAGAGTTTGATGAAACAGTCCATTGGATGCATAGAAACTCCGGAGCCCTTCTTTTAGACATGGGTTTCATTTGAAATTTTAAAGAGAGAGGAAAATGCATTTATTGTACTCTAGCATTTGTTTTTCATAAAGCTATTCAAACTGTGAATACAGACTTCTTGACAGACAACAGTTTTATTAAACTGTAAGTAATAGCACAGCAAATCTCTCCTCATTTGTTATATTTCCTTGAAATACTTAGAATAAAGTTAATCAACATGACTCCCTCCCACTTTCTGATCATATCACTTTGTTTTATTTAAACCTTATATATTCTGTTCAAGTTATGGGCCTGTCAGCCATGTTGGAACTCTTGCGTTTCTTGTAGAAATGTTTTAATTGCCATAATACACAGATAAAGAATGTCACATGAAAATTTGATCTTCATGACAGGGGTTTCTTGGTGCCAATAATTTTTTTAATGGCTGGTAACTAGCTCTAATAATGTAATGCAATTATCAGGCTCTACTGAATACAAAGCATGTTGCTGAAAAAGATCATACTTTGTGAAACAGGCTATTTCCATTGACATAAGAGCTTCACCCTTTTTTGTCCTTTTTATGGATGTCTCAGAAGCTTCTTTTGGCTCAGGTAGCATAAAAGGCTAAATTCTAGCTATAACCCACTAGCAAATACCCTGATTGTAATATAGCTTATGATACCTTATGTGTAGGATAGCTGTGCAGCAGTTATGGTGGCTTCTACAGTGGATATCTTTGATTACAGTTCCAGCATAGGAAGAAAGCTGGAGGAAAATGGGGCATGTTGGAGTAGATCTCTACTGATTCTCTACTGCTAAAATGTTCTTTTACACCACTAAAGAAAGTTAGAGCTTTCCTCTGGTCAGAAGCAGGATTAGACAAACTTACAGTAGCTTTCTAATACTCCCATTCCATCCTCCAGAACTGACACAGGGAAGAATTGAGTCTCTAATCTATAAATGTCTGTAAGAAGCTTTTGCAGTCATGTACCATAATAGCTCACAAATATAATGCAATAGAAATCAAAGCCAATAAAGATGCATATGTTTCTTTTAAACAGACAGAAGCAATGAAGATCGCGCTAGAAAGTCTTAACGTCAATGTTGTAGAGATGACTGATGAAAATGCTACCTTAGATGGTGGAGATGTCTTATTCACAGGTAAAGTGAATTTGCTGTTTATGTATCTGCACAGTACATTTCATATGACCTGGTTTCTAATCATAACATTTACTAGTGTAAAATTCATTAGATCACTTGCTTACCAAATGGTAGAGTCACACTAAGGTAGCTGAGAAGCAAACTTTCCTGACTGCTGCCAAAATAATAGAAATGGCTATATACATATTGCAAAATGCCAGTTATTGCACATACCAATTTTTAAGCCTTTATTCAATCTTATGAAGTATAATGTTCCAATACAGACATGCTTTTGGCAGCCAACTTACTTTAGTTATGTCATGCTTCTTGTTACTGGCAGCCATGTTTTTACAGACCAGTTTTCAGAGATTGTAAAAGTTCGATTCAGACACAAATGTAGCTGGTTCAGTGAGTAAACTACTAAAAATGCACTTTTAGTTTATGGGTAAGTAGAGTTGCTTGCCAGATGTCATGTGCTGAACAAGTTATATGCATGACTGACATAGAAGGTGAAAATACTGATTGGGTTTTTTTTGTAATTAAGCGCATTATGTGTAATCTCACTGAGAGTATGTTGCTCCTTGCCTGTGGTAAATATAGCTGTTTACTGTGATCAGTATCATAGAAGGCATACCTCTTGGCTTAATTTACCAAAGGAATGGGGGAAGGTTTCAGGTTAAGCAAACCAAAACCTAAGAACTTCCTACTATGTCGCAGATCCTAACATCTATTTCTTTTGCACCTTCAAGATACCAGCATCTGTGTAAGTGTTATGGGGGATGGGAGAAATCTCGGAGGGAGGGACTGCCAGTGATTTATTAATCCAGCCCAGCTGTTCTTTTCCTTTACCCTATGGCCACTGCAGGGCTTTAAGGAAAAGAAACTGTTCATGTTTCTGATAAAATGCTTCTTCTGGTAATGGGTAATTGGTTTAAATGATCAGCCTGCAATTGAAGGTTGTATTTTTCAATAAGCTACATATGTAATGTTTTTAATGCTTAATGTTTCAATAAGCTACATATTAATATTAATAGACTTTTGCCATAGTCAAGCTTCAGATAAGTCCTGTGAAGGACTGTTACAAAGACTCTCCCACGAAGTTGGCCTATTTTTAAAATGTGTCTTCAGGGGATTCAGTGCCCTTGGTGACTTGTATTTCTGCAGCCATTAAGAAAAAAAGCCCTATTGTTAATTTGTTCCTTACTTCTCTCTCCAAATTTTTTTTTCTTTCAGGGAGAGAGTTTTTTGTTGGTCTTTCAAAACGGACAAATCAACGTGGTGCAGAAATTCTGGCTGACACATTTAAGGTTTGTAAACTCATTCTTCACTAATACATTTTAGCCCTTCTGTCCATGCCACAAAGCATGAACAGTCCCCTGAACTGAAGATGCTGGGTAATGGAACTGGTACTGTTTTAAAATATTCACAGTGAACTGTTCTCATTTCTGCACAGGATTATGCTGTCTCCACAGTTCCTGTTCATGACTCTTTGCATCTGAAGAGTTTTTGTAGCATGGCTGGACCAAATCTGATTGCTATTGGTTCAAGTGAAGGCGCACAGAAAGCCCTCAAGGTAAAATACACAAGATGATCCTCTGGGATAAGCAGCAAATTTTGCTTTTATCTCTCTGCAAGAGCACTTGAGTTTAAAAGAGATGAAGAAACAATGCAAAAATAAAACAGGACACTAAAGGGAATGCTGTGTGTGCATAGTATAAGGGATATTGCTGTTAAGCAGAGAAATCATTATGCTGATTAGCTTTAACAGTAAAATGCTTTATACACGGCCAGAAGTATAACAAGGTGTCCTAGGCAGCAGTCATGGAAAAGGTAGTGGCAGTGGCTGGCACTGTGGTGGTTCTGTTCTTGCACCCCTTTTATGTTGGAGCCTGGGGCTTGTGCCCTGATTGCCTGTCCATAATTACGTTACTGTACATGGCTTATAGGTGCTTCTACTTGATAGTGTTGAAGTGCCTGTTTTTTGTTCAGTTGTGTGGGAAGACAATAGTAGAAATCAAGACTGAAAGTTAGAAAGAAGCAGAGTTGTCCAGATTCTTTAATATAGAGGCAACAGCTTTGACATAAAGGCTGCTGACAAACATGAAACCCCTCAAAAAACAGTGATTTACTTGAAGCGGAAGTGCATTAGTTTGACCAAGCTCAGCCAACTTCTGTATAGACTGCACTTTTTAGCAGGGCTTTTGGCACTTCTTTCTAAATCTGTTTCAGTCAGCTATTGGACAAAAGTGCCCAAAAGGCCCGCTGAAGTGCACAAGCTATACAGACTTTGGGTGAGCTGGGTCAAACTAATACAGTGCATCTTCTAGGCATGTGCTGTGCTTGGTGCAGGGGCACACCAAGCTAAAAGTAAAGCATTGGGGGGGCTTCACATCTGTAAGCGGCCAAAGAAAGAAGGGTTCAGTGAGAGAACTTGAGAAGGGAGCTGATGCAATGGGAGAGAATGATTTATTGGAGCATTGGATGGGTTGGAGAAATGTGAAGCATTTTAGAAATGTTGGAGAGAAGTGAAAGGTTTGATCAGAGGTAGGGAGAAAAGGGTATGAAGCAACAGACACAATCACCATGCTTGTAACCTGAAGTGAAAAAGGAGGATGGTGAAGCTTCATAGAAGGTGGGGGTCAGGGAGTTAAATAGTTAGGTGGATACCCATTTTAGGGAGGTTCAGGATAACAAGACTAAGAAAGATGAGGCAAATAAAATATAGGTTATATTTTCATGTAATTCCATGCTGTGCTAACATCTACCTTTAGGGGATGGGCAGTTGTTGGGGAAGAGATGAAAATGCCAGGCTAGGTTTCCAAGAGTGCAACACTGACTTCTTGCCAATGAGGAGTTTCCAGGATTTTAACAACATGAGACAGTATTCTGAGCTGAAGTGTCTAACATGAATACTATTGCTCCTTCTCATTTGCTTTCATAGAGCAGAGTAAGCTGTAAGAGATCCATCACTGTATATCAGTTGTAGAAAACAAGGTGGTTACATATGCCATTAAGAAGGATTACATTTACCAACTAAATACGTTACAGTTTACAGTTATATTCCCCTGGCACCAATGGTTGCCCTGGAGAGGCTTTCTGTCACAAAATGGAACAGTAAAAGGTCTTTTTTTATTTGCCTGGAAAGGCCAAAGTACAAAATGTCCTTTCTTTTAAAAATGTGATGTCAAAAAATAAAGTGAAGCCATGTCCAAAAGAATTATGACTAGATGAGCATGTGCATTTCTCATTCCATCAGGTATGTCTCATCAAGGGTCATGTGAAGGTTCATGTGTTCAATAACAGCAGCAAGCCTGCTTCCCAATGCTCCGGTTATAATTACACTGCAAAGAATTAACCCACGCTTTGCTTTTCAATGTTACCAAATCCGTTCTGAGGATGAGAATGTGGTGATTATTACTAATAATTATTATTATTGTGCAGTGGCAGATTAAGATTTATTGGGGCTCTGGGTAAACATAAAATTGGAGTCCCCCCACCAGGTGAAGGCAGTTTCCCTCTGCACCCACCAGGAGGCTGTGGCTGGCCCCACCCAGCCTCCTCGGCACATCCAGGGCGAGCCAGGGGGCACGAGCACCTCTGAGACAAAGGTGGCCCTGGCCTGGCCCCTCCGCCCGGTGGGTGTCACACAGCTGGGGCTGCAGTCCCTCCGTGCTGTGGGACGAGCCAGGGCTGAGGCTGGGGTCAGCCTGTGAGGAGGGGCATGGGCTCCGCACTGCACCCGGCTGCCTGCCTGCCCCTTTGGTGGCCCTGGCGGGGCAAGGGTGTCCCGTCCCATCCTGTCCCAGCAGTGCTGGTGCCGGTGGCCTCCTGCAGACAGCAAAGAATGGGAGTGGAGCCGCCCATAGGGCTTCCTGACAAAGATGGCCCCAGGAAGCAGCTGCCACCTGCACAGAGCCCCACGTCCTCCCCCGCCCCCTGGCCCGGCTGGAGAGGAGGAGGCATGCGCTGCCTGCCCCAGATACTCATGGCCAGGATGCCTGCCTAGGCTATGCTGCCCCTGGCGCCCCAGGAGGCTCCCGACTGGTGGGGGCCCATGCATTAATAAAGTGCTCTTAAAGTCTGGTAGCTATAGTGAGTGCCCTCTTATTTGGGGTGAGAAGGTGTAGAGGATAGCTTGTTTACTTGTACTGAAGAAAATATTGTATGTGTGGGCAGTCTGGAGCACTGGTGAGAGCAGGATTGACAGACCCAAAGTCTGATCCTCAAGCTGAAGTCAGGAACTGCTGATCTGCACCAGTCACGGGACTGAGAGGATGTTAGAAGGGTCAGGGAAGACAAAGGCTAAGGCTGGAAAAAGCGTGCAGACAGGTAGCAACATCAGGCAAGTGGGGCCTCTCAAAGTCTGAAAGAGCTCACAGTCTAAAGGTGGCCAATCTTCCCAGCTGGTCTGTCGGTCCTTTATTGCTAACTCTTGAGAAAAGTGTCAAGTGACAAGGTATTATGTAAAGTGTGGCCTGACTCATTTGCATCATGCTGAGGGTGTGGCAGTGTAGATATAGTAGCTCTCTATCACTTATGCATCATATTTTAATCCATCTTTGTTAAAGTGTGGCTTGTTACTTAGATATCTAAATTTGTATGTGCTTACCATACCCAAGGTATTTTTAAAGGTTACGGAGATGAATATTTATACCATGATTTTTGCCTGAGGCTTCTGAGCAGGATTCAGACCCCATTGTACCAGGCAGAACATGGTGAAACTCAGAAACAGACACTATCTTTACCTCTAAGAGCTTACAGGCACAGGCTCTGATCCTGCATAGACATATGCACCTACTTGACTTCCCTAGGCCGACTCATGCATAAAGTTAAGAATGAAGACAAATTGCTATGATGTATTCTTACATGTTTCTTTTTCAGTTCTTCAGATACTTCCTGTCTAGGGACATTCCTAGAGCTTTACATTTTCCAGGAATGTGACTTCTTAGCAGGGCTGGGCAGGATGTTTTCTCATCCCATGCTCGATTCTATGAGTTAATGATTGTTTCAGACGTGAGTCTATCATAGTGCTAGACTTTTAAAAAAGTTTTCTACTCCTAAATTGGGACTAAACCAAATCTTAAATGTTTGCCAACCAAAAAAAATCCCAAATAAAGTTCATAATGGGTCAAATGAAATACTCCCTCTCAACATACTTTTATATACACACACACGTGCACATAAAGTACATTTCTGAAGGAAAAGTATTTTTGATCATCCAAAATAACTATTTTCATTTTGAAAATGTCAAAAAGTGATGTTTCAACAACTTTGAAACTTTGAAAAAGTTTTGAAACAAGAAGTATCTAAACCAAACTTTTCCTATGTTTTTTGGTTTTCGACAAGTCGGCATGTTAAATGAGTTCTATTTATTATATATAACATATTTATTACATATATAATAAAGGGAAATTGTCATCTTCCAAAGACAGGAATTGCCAGCAAGCTATTTGTACAGATACAACATTGTTTATCTTGTGAAATCAGTGGTGCAGTTAAGATTTTGTGGCCACTAATAGATAATATACATATATGTTACCTATTGCTAAAGCAGTCTTGCTGTTTACAGCTGTAGTTGTAGGCTCAGAATCTCAGAAGAGCAGATTTAGAATAACACCAGTCAGTGAAGATTTATTAGCTGAGATCCTTGGTAGTGGTAGGGGGGCATTGTTAAGGGTACTATATTTAACAAATTTTGATTCCCAAATGGGTTTGCATAGGTTTTCAGGCTTTGAAGCTTAAAAATGCTCATGTTCAATTAAGCTCAGTGTTAGCATGGTACAGTCTCACAGGAGATCCCCAGAGTATTCCTTGGCTCATACTTGCTGGAATAAAAGTCTCTGTTCTAATGTGACAGAATTTGGATTTCAGAAAAACAGTTTTCCCCTTCTAAAATTAGATTAGGATGAACCAAATTATAAAAGAATAATGATCCAGTTCCTAGTAACTGGAGGAATGACAGAAGAGCAGAAGCTTAGAGACTTGGGGCTTGGAGAAAAAGGCTTAACTCTTACCTTTCCATCTCTTACAGAAAATTCAGGCTGTATTTTCATAAGCTCTTCACTCTGCCCAGACATTCTCTCAGGCAGTGACAAATTTACTGATAATATGCATCTGCTCTTAAACAGGAACAAGACCACAACAAACATGACTACTTTCCCAAGACTTAATTACCTATAAACCTTGGCAGTGGTGGCCTTCAGGGTTATAAACTGTGGTTGTTGAGGGTAACTTCTAAGGAAACCTGTATTTGATTATGAATTTAAATGCACTTTCTTAAAGCATGCCCTGTGGTTTTTAAACTGAGGTGTTAGAATCAACACTTTTGGTGCAGGGGGTAGGTGAAAGCAGAGGCATGACTGACCAGGACTGCACCCTGGGCAATATGTGCCCCTTTGCTCACTGCATCTCCCCAGCTTCAGCTCTGTCTCTGGCAGTGGGGAGGATAGAGCAGTGGAGGTAGCATAGGAGAAGCAGCCAGAGATTCACTGCTGCTAGTGGAGACGTCACCTTCTTCTTTGCTGCTGACACGGATGTCAAATAGCCAAAAAAGCACTGGTTATTGATGACAAA